TCCCTACACTCATAAAGAATGCTTCTGAAAGCTATGCCAGCACATGGAGCCCTGTTCTGCTCACATTAAAATAAAAGGTGAAAGTATCCTGAGCATCAGTAGATGGAGAAGGTAGGAGATGGAGAAAGCAGAAATCCATACAAGAAGATCAGGCCGTCCAAAAACCAAACCACTTTTCCCAAATTACTCTCTTTTTTCCTCATAACTTACATTTTCTTTTCAACTTACTGAAGTAATTCCTAGCAGTTTCTGGGCTGCTTAATTTCTTTCTGCTTCTGCAGGAGTCTCCGTGACAAAGGCAACTGCATATATATGTGCTTCAGAATCAAGCTCTTAGACTGGTATTTATCAGCTGTGCAAATGCTGTTCCTACAGGTGTAGGTGGCTACAGAAAGGTGAATTTTACAGAACTAACTGTTGATCTACTACAGATGAAAATTGTCAAGTCCAGACTCCCATACTGATTATTACTGTCTTATCATAATTCAATTTATTTTTACAGCCTTACCTAACTTAATTATTCTGGTATACTATGTCAATCAGTTGCCCCTGCCCAACACTGTTTTTTTTAAATACGGTTACATTGCCAACATAAACCAAAACAAAAGCTATTTCTTTCAGATGTGTTATATATCATTGGCCTGATTAATTCTAAGTCCTAAGAAATAAAAGTCCTAGGAAATATTGCTATGGGAAGAAACAGCTGTGCAAACCCAAACTTCTTATTTATGCCATTCTCAGTCTCTTGCTGACTGGTCAGGGTCTTTGGCTGGTTTACGTCCTTCTGAACAAATTCTTAAAAGAAGCAAATTGTTTGTTTGTTTTTTAAAAATTCCAGAGTAGCTCTGTAAATACAACATTTCGGAAGACTACTACAGATTAGATGTGTTACAGCTTATATCAATAAATCTGCTTTATCAGTATGTCAGAAATCTTGGGAAATACTTCGTATTGTCTGTTACCGTACCACCACAAAAATGTTCTAATCTAGTATATCCTTCGCAGAGCCTGCTTAATAATGAAAAAGCTGCCATACAGGATAAAGAAGTGAATACAGATAACACAATGAAGCCTGAAAACGGGGACAGAGAAAACTCTCCAGGCCAAATGGAAACCTACTGGGATTCTGTAAATGAACCAAAGAGGCGTTCATTCCCCTTTTTTTAAGAATCGGTAAATCAGTCTCAATTAGAAATTCTTCTCAATTCCAAATACGAATTGTCATCATTTATTAACACAAGGGTGTCACTATGCATTAAAATGGTAACAAAATGAACCTCACAACTGTAATTTCTGTAATTCCAGTTTCACAGCTTGTTCCCAGTTAAAGTGGAATATCATTACTGGATAAGCCAGAAGGACTACTGGTAAAATAAAGGGTAAACACTCTGAAAATCATGTCCTGTCATCTGCTGAGACCACTCGGTCCCGTGTCTCTTTCAGTCATGTAATAATTTATTGATTATGAAACTATTCAATAAAACACTATTACCTAACTATGATCTTATTTTAGTGCAGCTGTAGCTGAAACCAATGGAAGTTTTGCCTGCAAAATGTTATGTCATGGTTGGATGCTAATTTTTTACCTCCAGGGAAAGTTCTACTCCCTTTTTTCATAGAGAGCTCTTAAAACCACAGAACTCAGACTTTGTCATTTTTTTAGGTAACACACATTAATTTAATGACATTTGCTTAGAGTTTCCTGTTTGGAATGCATACAGAAAATACAGTAGAGAGTCAGGGACAATTCATCCTTTCCAAAGCATTTTTAATTAAGTGCACTTTCTAACCTGGCCAAAAAATGTCACATCCTGAAATGTATCTTTTCTAAAGATATAAATAAACATAATAAGGTCACTGAGGGCACCATGTTATGCTTAGAACAAATAATGGAAGTATACCAAAGGTCTGAGAAAGCACTTCAGCCAGTGGAGTGTGAATGCACATTAACTTTCTGCTATAAACATTACAGGCCAGTTAGATGATTAATGCTATCAGGCACCAACAGCTTTAACACTGGTTTTGAAAGAGATTTTTTCCAATACTTGTTAATATTATTTTTGTGGTAACATTTATTGAAGCATAAATATAAACAAACTCCATAAACATGAATTAAAAATGCTGCCACTTCAAACGCATTCAGAAGAGGTTAAAGGATTTGCCCAAAAGAAGAGGAATTCCTGAGAGAACAAAGCACAGGACAACAGCACAGTATATCAGTGTCACTAACGGGTAACTTTTCCAAAAATGAACCGATGCTCCTTCTTTCTACCATTTCCCTCACTATTCAGAACTATAGTTTCAGCTAGAAGGGATTAACTAAAGAAATATACGTATTCGTGTACTACAGAATGAATCATTTCATTGCTGCTGTCATTTAGTTTTCAATGCTGAACTTCCACGTGGGTAGTAGGGTAGCATCCCATGAGTAGCAGCAAGCACTCTACCCCACTCTGTCGTCTTTCTGTGCATTTGTTGTCTGACCAAAGTTTTAAATCTCAGGGGTTTTCTTCCATTTACAATTTTCAGTACATTTACAAGAAAATACCTACCATGACGGGTGATGTCTCTAAGCAGTCCTTCTTCACAACCCATTTTTGACACCATAATATTAATTATATCTCTTCTCCAGAGGAAAAACAGTGGTAAAAAAGCAAGCTAAGGTTTCTGTTTCCTTATGAGCTATGCTATGAAGAACAGCCAAATTCCACTGAAGTATTTCATTACTAGCTAGCATAATACTGAATCACAGCACAACTAACAAGTATAATTGCATTCAGAAAGTTTCATTTTAAGAATGTGTCAAACATGTAATTTGATTAGGGCGTGTGAGTATCTGTGCATGGGTTGTTCATGGTACATTCTTACGTATGTGAATCATAAGGCATTATGAGCCACCTACCTCCTGGTAGTAGGGAAGCTGCAATATTCCTTCCTATTAGAAAGAAACCTGGAACATCTTTTAAAAGTTGACAGCAGTGCCGGCACACATCTCTTTTAACGCCTAAGCCTGCTAGTTAGACCATTAACATTCATGACATTACTGAGAAACAATAGTTACGAATTTGCTAATTAAATGAGGATTTGGATAATAATAAATAATAAATCTGGTAATAATAAATATTCTAAAATTAAAAAAATGAAGCATCAGTATGGCATTTACAATTCTGAATACCTCTATTTTTTGTAAAATGTTGCTGATTTTAATGGGGGAATAGATTGTCAGCTTATTAAAGTCTGGAGCAGGTTTATTAGCTAAATAGACTGTACGTTAGGAAAAGAGCATTAATTTTGCCTGTAAGAGGTAAGTATTTCTGTTCAGGATTATATTTTTGTTTAGAAGACATGTAAGATTAAAAATCATCTTTCAAGTAGCTACTGACCAGGCTTTCTGCATACCTTAGCCTGTATGTTATAAACCTCCTCTGTTCATAACTTCAGCTGCAAAGTCCATCACCCTTCTGGAGACGCGGCAACTCGGTCTTCAAGTCAGCTCAGCTTACTGCGGCACCTGACTAGAACAATAAGATGTTATGTCAACAAGGCATGCAATGATTGCAAAGTCAGTAACTGTTGATAAATTTCCTCTACAACAGCCACAAGTTACAGTTCTTATATAGCTTTTTCCATTTCCCACATCTATAATGGAAATGACGTTATGAATAGCATCTTTCTCTGATTTTCATCAATCAACTAAATAAAGATATTTGTACAATTAAAACAGCGTTTAGAATGCTGCCGCATCCTTGGGGCAGAGGCCATATGTCCCTGTTGTTTTACAGTATCTTGAGCAACAGATTTCTGCTGTAAAAGCAGAACTTTAAAGAGCTGCTGACAATTCTGCAATAACAAACTAATAGGTATGGCTGAAAATGATTGAGAGGAAAGAAACGCTTAACTTAGAAGCAAATTCCAGATTTCTATGCGTTATGTATAAACAAAGAAATTTTAAAAGCATGAAAAATAACACACGGACACACCACAACCCCCTATATTGGGCTGATTGCAATGAAACTGCCCTTTGCTGTATGATGATCATATAAAATGCAAACAAAGTCACTTAGCATTGCCGGCACTGCTTTATTATTTCAGGTGAAAAGGAATACAGTGAAAAGAATTTAGAAGGGGGATGGATAGTGTCAGCAGTAACAACATACATGATTACACATTACTATAATTAGCAATGGAATTTAAAGAATTAAAAAAAGCAACATATTTGCTTTGGTTTTAACTCTGCTTTTGACTCAGCTGCAATTCCATTGATATACTTAGCAGAAAAGTTTATCTCAGTCTTTTTTAAAATATAAACGCATTAGGAGGAGAAATGCGGTGACCAAAGGTAAACACTTCAATACAAAAAGGGCCCTAAAAACCCCTCCAGAAGGCAGTTTAATCCAAATCTGGGATAACTATGGATTAAGAATACATTGATGTTAGTTTGTGCTCCCCTCTTTCAATACTACGACCGCATACTAACATGCTTTGGACTATTTTGCCCAACCCTTACATTGACCATCTCTTATGTTATAGTTCCTTTTCTCACTTTGATACACAAATTTGTGACGCAACCTTACAGCGCCACTGCTAACAATCTGTATGCTTCGTTTCTTTTATTTCATTCTGAAGTGTGATTCTTAAAGGTTACAGGTGTGAGTGGAAAAGTGATGCTGAGGTGCCACAAAGGCCTGCCCTTAGAGTACCTCAGGCTCTGCTTAACCGCAGTTGCAATAGGCTTGGAAACATTCCTGTAAAATTGATGAATGATTTATCTGATCTGAAATACCTGCATGTGCATTTGCAGCAGCTTTCTATGCAAATCAGGTACTCACGCACACAAATTATTCTAGTTAGCTACAGGAGTCTATGATGACCTAATCTGCACGTTCAGCTGTAGTACACCTCTGAATTAGCATGAAAACTGTGTGCATCTTTTGCATGCAGAAGTGCACGCCCAATTAGATTGAAAGGCGGATCTTTTATTATCCCTGCGTGGCTCTCCTATACTTTTAATTGGAATGTACACGTTACCAGCATTCACTTTAACTCATAAGAACATTTGGAAGATATAAGGAATAACGTGCTTAAAATACTAAAGAAAAGTTTTGAAAATAAGTATATTCATCCTTTGAATAAGTGTAATTCTCATATAAATTTTAAAAATTTGGGAAAACATCTTCTCATATGGCAATAAATACCTGCAATTAGTACTCTTATGTTACAAACTTTGTCAAGGTTATTATATGCAATACTTGTTTTCACAGCCTCACAAAAAAGGATCCTTTTAATAACTTGCTGTATGGGGACAGAGGAGGTGGACCGTGAGGCACAGCAGCACTGATTATACCCTCACTAAAACACAAAATAGCCAGCAGATAAATTGTGATTTAACAAGTGAGCCAGGCTTAGAGCTGTCAGATAACACTACTTCAAAGGTGAACAATAAAGTTTATATAAGGTCCTCTGTCAGGGTACAGCCAGCAAAACCAAAACTGACAAGCTGGTGAAATACTACTTGTACCTGGACTTTCATCCTTTGGCTCCAGGAAAAGCAGTTGCTGGACTAACATGAGTTTAAAGAAGGAACCACATGAAAATAATATCCCGTAATATATAGAAATATAGGCTATTGACTCAAGGTATAGAAAGACACATCATCACTGGTAGTAGCGTAAACTATTTATAACCTCTGCATGAAGACCAGTTAAGTTGAGAAGCAAAACTGAATAAATATAGGCATGTGAACTTCCAGTAGTAAAAATGGAAGCTTGCTGAAAATTGCATCACTTCACTTTCTTTATAATGAATTTGAAAAGGGATTCACTTCAGTAAAAATTTCTACTGTGAAGGGTGAAGACTTTGCATGAGGCCAAGGTTCTCAATACTGAAACCCATTAGGGACCGGATTTGTTTATCTTCTCTTCTTTTTAATGCTATTAAGAAGGTCGGGTAGAGAGGGATAGAGTTACAGCTTGCCCTCTTCCTTATGTTGGCAATATATAGGAAAGGCCACAGGAACGCTGGCAGTAGCATTTCTAAAAATCGAATATACACTAAAAAGGAATCAGAATGCTTCTGTGCTACACTTTGCATTGGGAACACAACATTTTCCCACATTTTCTCTCTGTTTTGATTGCAAAAATAATTAATTTTTTCAGTATCTTTAAGTTAAACCCCAAGTGATGTTAAAATTCAAAACATTACAATGGCAGAAACTTTTGCAGGTGCTCCCATCTACAAAAACAATAAAGTGGACAACTTTGCAGCTTTAGAGGCAAGTCTTGCTTGAGCCACAAAGAAGTCACTATTTACTAGTGAACAAAAAGATGAGAGAATTCTCACTTCTTGTGATTTATTCCAGTGACAGGGTTAATGACACAGGTAGACATGCCCATTGACTCATTAAATTGAATAGCAAGACACAGCCAGAAGTTAATTTTCCTTTGGTATGTGCTTAGGCACCTCGTTATGACAGTATTTGTGTCACCAGAATTTATTCCCGACCTCAAGTGGAGTCAATCTTTCAGTTCAAATCTGCGGAGGCATTTTCGTACAACTTTTTATCTTTCAAAGCTCTGTAACAGCCCGTATCTTTCGTAGATCAGGCACCGAGATGGACTTGCAACATGTGAATTAGTTTATTACAGTGGTACTGTCGCTACGGATGTTTTGCTACACAAATATGTAGATACGTAGAATATTAATGACGACTTTCATTCATAGGCAACATATGAATGATCAATAAATGAGGTTTTCAGTGTCTAGCAGAAACCTTTTAGCAAGGTTTGATGTAACATTTTGAAATATGTAATCTCTGGTGCAGTAGATATAGCTGAGTGTGCCACTCCGTATGGTAAAAAATACACTGAAGAAGCCTGGCTTACGCTGAAGCGTGGCTGTGCAAGTTTGTAAACATTTGCTTCAGGAATATCCTGAAGATAAACTTGAAGTTGGAATCGGGAGCTATGCAATTTGAATCCCTGCTGAGACGGAGGGTACGTGTTTTCCATTATCAAGGTACACTGTGGCAATCAAGGAAACTATCAAGAAAAATGGGCTCTGAGACGCCTCGTATTTCAGCCGTGCTAGGAGCTGGGATTTTTTTTCCCATCACGGTATCAAGCAATGATATTACAGGGAAGGCCAGTTGTTAAAGGAGAATAAAACACCTGTGTCATAAAAGTGTTGGGAAAATGCACTAACCTCTGTGAAATGGATTTAACTTCTTGGATATGTGCTAATTATCACTTAAGTATGCACCCCAAAATACTTGCTATATTAGAATTTTGAGAATGTCAAAGCAGTTTTGCCTGCTTTGCAAGCAAACTGAAATAAAGCAAAGGTAATTTTGACATACCATTTGAATGCCTTATCCTGAATTTCAGTCCCTGTTTCTGCAGATATCCTGCTAACTGGTTGCAGTTAACACAGTGGGCGCTTCTAGAGAACTACAGACTGGCGGGCCTGATCCTGACTCCTGGGAAGGTTATGGAGCAGACCCTCCAGGAGGCTCTGCTCAGGCACAAGGAACAAGAAGATGACTGGGAGCAGCCAGCTCCGACTGACCAAGGGCAGACTGTGCCGCACGCGCCTGCCCAACCCGATATTCTGCAGTGCAACGACCGGCTTTATGGACAAGGGGAGAGCTGTGGATGTTGTTTACTTTGATTTCAGCAAGGCTTTTGACACGGTCTCCCAGTATCATTATAGCCAAACTGGTGAGATATGAACTAGACAGGTAGACTGTACAGATGGGGGAAAAATGACTGAACCATCCGGCTCAAGGCTTGTGATCAGCAGTTCAAGGTCCAGGGGACTTCAGGGTGTAAGCTACACACAGAACAATATAACTGGGAACATGTTTATGGGTAATGTGAAAGGGGCTCGTATTCTTTACTTACAGTAGGAGTGGAAGGCTCTAAGCTACTTCCAGGCCTGTCCATTTATAGACAGCATATTAAAAAACAAACGAGCCAATGACTGTATGTCTCTTAAGAGAGAAGAAGATTTACTTTAAAAATGAGAAGCATGTTAATTGCCAGAGAATTTAAGAGGCTAAAATCTACCACTAGCTAATACCCCCTAGGATTTAGAATGTGGGGAGTAATAATCTTCAGCTGGAGACATTATTTTTCTGTATACCTGAGTGGCACAAAGATCAGGCAGATTTGCGATTTTGATCCACTGTGTTTCTCATGTTGACGTGTCTATGAAATACCACTGACACGTGCCTCACACAATAACTGGGAATGTTCTCTCTGCCACAGAAGGAAAGTGCTATTGCCAGTGGGCAGCACAGAAATTTAGAAATACTGGGTGGAAAAATCCCCAGTATGGCCAGATCCAATCCTCTTTGTTTGGGAAGTATCTGAACACCTCCTTGAAATGTTGGTATGGGATACTGACACATACTGCTCTGTTTTGATTGTTTTTCATTAACAAAAGGATCAGATCCACACTGTTTATCTCATCATTAATTATGTTAATCAGTAAGTTGAATCTGAATTACTCTATACTTTTAGTCCATTTTGAATGTCACCAGTGTATTTGGGAATGTCAGTGATATCATCAGCTCTGGGTGTAAACTGTAAGAAATTTTCAAGGCTTCGATTAAAAGAGTAAGTTAATCGCAGGTTCGTACTCAAAATTTGTCCTGGATGCACTTGCAGTTTTGCATTGTGTATTGGGTTTAAATGGCCCTCTCTTGCTATATAAAATAACAACATAAACAAAAAGGATCGTAACTGACCATAAGCCATAGCACAACACTGACGGAAAGCACTATCAAGTGCCCTCGGTACATAGGCAGAGATTCATTACATAATTTTTTGAGATTAGTAATCTCCTTGCAATAGGAACAGATAAAACTACACAGCTTTTGACTATGAAACTTTCAGTGTCCCTTGAAGTTTCTTCAAGTTTTTGCTACATAGATAATTTCACATGTGGAACTACTTATTTCCTCAAATCAGCACTTCAGAAAACTTTATGGCCCACATTAAACATTGTATTGCACTGTTACGCCTGCCAACAATAGAGGTGACTTTGGTCACCGGTCTTTGATAGTGACACATGTAACTGTTTCCTGTAACAGCAGGGCTCTTTCTGTTCTGCATCTGGATTTACTGTGATGAAGCAGTTACACTGGTTGGGTCCACTGCCAGCTCATCTCTGGCGTTCACCAAACAGCGTATTTTGCAAAGCACCTGGGTAAGGACTGCTGTCACTGATACTCAAACCACTGAAGGCCGTAAGGATTGCAAAATCAAAAACTGAAGGGAGAATTCAGCTTCTGATGTACACAGCTGCTTGACTGTTTGTCATATCGCAACTGAAGGAGGCAGCAGCCCATTTCTCCAGGACTCCATACTCCCTTCCGTCAGTCACTTCTTGAGAGCATGAGGATTAAATTATCAGTGGTCTGTGCCTCAGTTTACTATTGGGAACACCGATATATTAAACCAAGGATATTTTGAGATTTAACTAAGTGGTGTTTGCAGATTATGGAAACATTCTATCCCAAACATAAAGCATGATTTTTTCATGCTGATACTGTGAATGTGCACTGGCAAGATGCACAGGCACACGCCAAGTTCCCGGATCTCCAGTCATAGAGATAATGGCCACAAATTATGTGCATGCTTCTTCCAAATCTCGTAACTCTAGGTGTGTGGGACAAGGTTACTCACTAAAAATAGTGCTGTCTCAGGAGCAGATTCCACACAAGCCAGAACACGCCATGGCAGCGTATGTGTGCCGCAAGACCAAATGCAGCAGCCCACAGAATGGAGCGGTGTAACTCTGCTTTACGACTTTTCTTGGCAGTGGCACCGGTTTGGTTGGAACAAAGCCGGCATCGGCTCCTTCGCGGCTATCCAGAGCCAAACGATGTGCCACACTGCATCGCAGGGCCCCGTCCCACTGTCCCTCCATCGCTTCGCACAGCACCGACGCAGGTTATTGTGCGTCTCGCGTCACGCGAGCGGCAGTGGTGCGGACAGCCTGAGAAGCGCTCTCCAAGCTACACTGTACAGATAGATGGAAACAATATATATTTACTGTGCCTCTTCTTTCTCTTCCTATCCCCTCCAGTAGTATTAGTCTCTTCACTGGTATTTGCAGCTTTTTTTTTTTTTTTTTCCATTCACAGTCATCACTAACGCAGCTTTACCACTATTTTGAAGAAAAGAACGGCAGTGCCAGCGACGGGCGGTGTGCGTGTGGCGGGGGGGCAG